TTCAATCCCCAGTTCCAAAAAAAAAAAAAAAGAATGGGTGAAGGGAATGTAATGTGCATATATGATAGAATACTATTTAGCCATAAAAAGGATGCTATCCTGTCATTTACAGCAGCATGAAGAAGCCTGGAGAAAATTGTGTTAAGTGAAACCAATCAAGCACAGAAAGGCAAATATTGTCTGTTCTCATTTATACATAGAAGCTAAAGACATTGATCTCATAGAAGTAGAAAGTAGAATAATGATTACCAGAGGCTGGGAAGAGGATGGTGGAGAGGATGGAGAGAGGATGGTTAATGGTCACAAAATACAATTGGAGAGAAGTAAAACTTCTATGTCCTATAGCACAGCAGTGTAAGTATAACTGACAATTAATTGTATATTTCATAGTAGCCAATAAAGAAGATTTTAAATATTCACAATATAAAGAAATGACATATGTTGGAGATGCTGTTTATGACAATTACCCTGGTATAATCCTTACAAGTTTTTACATATATTTAAATGTCATACTTTCTTATAAATATGTTTAATTATTATATATTAATTTAAAATAAATACATAATAATGATCTTACAAACAGCGATGTCTATGTTCACTGACACAGTAACAAAACAGCTGTGTGTGCATAATGACTTTTCAATAAACAGCAGACTACATATATGACAGTGGTCCCATAAGATGATACACAATGCCACTGTATGACAAGCTTCTATGGCAGGCAGTACAGTTAGCTTGCATTAGTCATAGGCCATAACCTACAGCCTACGTGTGTAGCAAGCTATACCCTGTGAGTCTGTGTAGAGAAGTTCTCACAATGACAGAACTGTCTGATGATGCCTTTCTTAGAACACATCCCTATTATTAGACAATGAATGAGTATCCTAATAGGTAATTATATGATTTTATCACATGCCAGGCATTTTCTAGGCACCTCTATTATTATTCTCACCCAGGCATTCTGCCTCCAGAGCCCATGCTCTGAAACACTGATTACACTGATTCTCGCAATTACCTTGGTTGGTCCTGTGTATTCCTCACTTTCTACCCCAGCCCTCTCTAGCATAGTATCCATCACTTCATTGAGCTGGACCACTTCCACTCTTCGATTGGGTTTCCTAAAAGATTGCAAATAACATGTAAATAATATTTTAACATCTGCTCAAATTATAAAAAGAATATAAAATGTATAATTATGGAATATTAACTAGTATTTTAAAGCATTGGACCTGTATCTATTGAACTAGTGGGATATTAATAATAGTGAAAAAGCAAGAAAACATATAAACATTATGATCCCCTTCTTCTTAAAAGAAAATAATTCTATCCTCCAAACATTCTATATAACTACCATGTAAAATGCTAGGAACATATAAAAAATGTGGAAAGACAAACACTCAATGTGAGAGAAGAAAAAAAGACAAAGGAAAGAAGACTATAGCAAAATGGAGAAACACCAATTATTAAATGTAGAATATAGACGTGTTTCGTGGTACTTAAATACTACTACTACTTATGTAGATTTGAATATGCAACTGGATATATGAAAACAACAAATCAGATAACAGAACTGTAGAAAATTATTGTTTTGAGTTCCTGCTATAATTTTGTTTAATAAAATATCAACAAAAAGAACACATATGTACATAATCATTCTTTCTAAGAGACACTGTATAAAATAAACCATACTTACATGGATGGAAAGAGCAACAGTCTGTTTTCACTATCTGTGAGAAGAGTAGTATATTTGCTACAATAAATAAGACAAGCACATGTTATTTTAAGAAAACATTTTAGGGCTGGGGA